CAACTGCGCGATTCTAGGCTGTTACGGTTCCTCACTGTTCGGCACGTCCCTCATTTGCCCCACGGTACTACTGAAAAAATGACCGGAGTCACGGCTGTGCACATCAGGGTAGTTCCAACTTTCCATGGAACTTTCAATCGAGATTACGTAAATCGATAAAGCCTGGGATGATGGTTAGCAATGTGAGGATCAAAAGTGCTACGTAGACCTATCAAGGAACCTGTGCGATCAAATGGTCCCAAACTCGATTCCCCGTGGTCACAAAATTATACATTCTGGCTTGGCTTTTCCAGGTTGATGCCAAATGGGAACTGCGCCGAGAACAGATGCGATCTTCGTAATCAGAATCCCTTGCAAGCAGGCTTTCGTCAAATATCAATGCTGCATTGACACCCACCCCCTCCCCCCCCCTTTGACCGCTCACATTTCTTAGGCAAAGCTTTTTTTTAGCAATTATGCTTTTCGTATCTGATGATGCGTGATGCGATCTTGTCAACAACAAGGACCCCGGTTTACTATTTCTACCTGATTTGGTAACCCAGCCTCGTAGTTCTACTGCTGTTACTGTCCTCGTCTCCCACTCAAAATTAGGAGCTGGGATTAGGTCCCAAAACCCAGTCCCTCCTAGAGTGAGAAAGAGAGGTTTACAAGCGCAGGAGGCACGACACTGTCGCGACTCAAAAGTGCGAGGCAACGGCGCTAAGGCCTTGCCTTGTGTGCTGCCGTGCTGCCATCCTTACGGCATACGTGGTGTTTGCGCTCCTCTCGCGTACGACGTGCTCTCTCGCGTTTTCCCTCTCCTCGCAGCGGTGTGTCTATCATACCAGGTCGGCCACACAAGGAAGTTTAAGTGGTTCCTATGGTAATTTTGCTTCTTCTCCCCTAATGTCGCTCAATGACTTTTTGCCTAATCTTTCGATCAAGATCTATGGATTCGATCCCGACTCTCTGAAAAGCCTCTCCGTTTCGCTTTACCCAGAAATCGTTTTTTTTTGGATTTCTTAGGATTCTTTTGTTTGTGTTTTTTGGTTCATGTAAACCCCTAAACCCGTCTTGACAGAATTCCGATCATCCATAAAAATACGAAAATAGACGACAATAGTTGAATGGGTATGAAAAGTAATCTGAGGGAACCCGACGTCATTCGTATAGTTATCGTTTTGTCACTAGTAAATGCAACCTTTGATCCACGTTTCAGTGTAACCCTAACAGAATAAGCACAGAGGCAACAAGGCTAAACATAATTCACTCACGATTCCCGTATGATATACATCTGGTGCAAGCCAACGCAGATTCATGGGCTTGTCCGGGTTCACTTTGTACGATTTGGATTTCCGTGTTAGACCGAAATCGGCAACCTAAAATGGAACACTGTCGGAAATATGCAGGAATCACTCTCGTATTGAGCACCACATAGATGCACGTTGAGATCCGGAATGGGAGTTGCACTGTGCGAAGGCTGACGGTGGGTTCGCTTTCGTCAACTGACAATGAGTCGTCCAACAACACGAGAGGAGGGGGTCATTCAAGGATACGGGGCGCTTTTCGAACTATTTGTTTGAAGGCTCGTACGTGTGTGAATACAGAACCATGGTCCCATTTTCTGGCTCATTTTTAAAAATGCCAACGTGGTGAGGCAAAAAGGTCTATAAGTGTATCTGGCAAATATTGGCGAATTTTAAGGTGTGCGCCATCCAGATATAATAGTTTCCTTAGCGGTCATGCGCAGTGCAACCACCACTGGCGTCAATCAGTCATCACGGAAAAAATGAACTGTGGACCTTTTCTTCCACGCATTATTTGACATTCGTTGCAAGGAAATGTTAAGAAAAAAGAGGACCACGGTGTGTGAGCCTTCAGCCTTGTGGTTCTAAAAACATGCAAAAATACCCGCTAAGACATACCCGTTGCCGTTTCCATGGATGACTCCCTTTGAAGTTTAGTGCCTGGCGAATGCAATTCAGTATTTAAACTTGGGTAACCTCCGCTAGTAAAATCAGGGAATCTCTGCAGCATGCATTTTAGGGTGTCCATATGTGAGTTAGGTTCTTTCTTCTTCAATGACTGGGGACAGAGAATTAATGAGGAACAGTTCTTCAGTGTTCAGAGCCGTGTTTACAATTAGAGGGAGCCCATTAAAACTAACGTAGAGGTGGTCAGTGGTGCAAAAAGAAGAAAAAATATGAGAAACGCCCAAACCCGAGAAATGACCCTTCTTTGCCCGTTGATTTCCGCATTGATGCGACTCTCATCGGTGCTGCCCTCTTCAACGCTAACGCTCTCTCTGCTAAACGGCTAGAGTCAGACGGCGAGAGGGTGGGCGTGGCGTGCCGCGGCGCGGTATGGCCCTGTTTGGTCGCTGGGGGCATACTCTTCACTGCGGAACGCGCATCGTTCTACACCCTCACGGGTCAGCCTGCCTTAGACTTGGTGTATTTCCTCTTCTTCAACCTTTGACCTATCGTGAAACCCTCCCTTGAATCAGGCTGTTGGCTATTGACAAAAATCTTGGATTATAGGCAAAGCTCTTCGCCCCGGACGGGAATCGAACTGGCATCTTTCAGGTAATTGAGCGTCATTGTAGACAGGTGTGAATAAGGCGAGGAGAATCGCTCGAGAAACAGAGGAGGTCGATATGAGTCATCCAGCTGCTTAGTACCTTAACAACCTTGTCCAGAAGCAGGTTCCGTGCCGCTATATCTCGATGAATACATCCTTTAGCGTGCAGATACTCGATTCCCAGAGCTGCCTCGTAAAGAATCTGAACGAAAAGAGGAACAATCAATGGTACATGCCATATGTTGACTGTAGTGAAACCTAAACTAAACTGAAAGTTAAAAAAGCCAATAAATCAAGGAAAGCTTCGAAAGTGGGGAAAAAACTTCCTGTAGGTCAGCAGTGGTACGGCGGAGACACACTGCGTGCAGAGAAGCGAGAATACGCGAACGATCACGTTGAACGAGAGGGCACAGATACACGACTGCTGCATAGGAGTACCACTCACACTGTTCGAAGGCGTTGGCAGGACCCTTGCGCCTTTGCCACCCTCTATCGGACTACCCCAATGGTGCCTTTAAACAACACCCCCTGCAGAAGTCGTGTCAAAGAATCTTTAAGTGGATGGGATAGAGTAACCCCCGAGTGTCACAGATGTGCCGTTGTTGCAGCCCGAAAGTGCGCTAGGGTCATACAAATTGAACATATCCGAGAGTTGGGGTAGGCGTGTCACCGGAAGTGACGTGCACTTGATAGAAGCTATGTGGATAAGCTGCTTCCAACATACATCGCTGGATATCAGCAAAGCATGCTGGCAACAGCTTATCCACGCACTTCTATCAAGTGCACGTCACTTCCGGTGACACACCCACCCCAACTTTCGGATATCGACTGTATGCGACTACTCTTAACGTACGGACGAGCTACGTCGCGCACACCCTATGGCACAAAATGTGGATCACGGCGTAATACGCGCGCGTTATCTGAGCCGTGGAGCAGGAAAGTTCGAACAACTCGTCCGGCCCCGCCCCTTTCCTATTTCAAGATGAACTGTTGTTTGAGGCCACATCGACGGTTTTCACTACTGCTTTTATTCGTTTTTGTCAAATTCCTTCATCCCCATTTCATTATCAACTCGCTCTGACCCTACGAATTTGATTCTGGTGGGCTGCTTTAAAGATTTGCTCTTCCCATTGTAGCAGTGCATCAACTAGCGAGTGCTTCTTAGAACTTTCTATGCCTCCACACCGAAAATCACTGAGGCATCAGTTCACCACGAGCGCTGCTAACAATTTTCGAAGTTAACCGATGTTGGTGGTACTGCTGCGTCCTATATCAGAGAACGGGTGTCCCCCAAAGGCCCGCGCGCGAAGGAAGAGACGCAGACGCGGCAAAGGACGAGTCGCAGCGCATACTGTAGCGGTTAGGCGTCAGGTTAAAGAGTGTGTACCATACTACGTCTCATATCGCACAGCACGCGCTGCGACTCGTCCTTTGCCGCATCTGCGTCTCTTCCTTCGCCGCGCGACGGGCCTCTTGGGACACCTTGGAACTTTGAAGGCAGCGAAGTCTCCATAGAAAACATGCAATGGTGAGTAGTTGTGGGTGGCTCACATGGTGAGAAGCTCTCCACCAGGATCCTTCCCAGCTCTCATTATGCATTGTTTTCTCGAAGACATACCTCACCTTTCGCCCAACTATCTTTCAAAATTGCCCCTACTGGCCGTTTAGGGGCACAATTGACGTAATTCGTCCACTTCCACTTTCACAAAAACTCAGAAAAATGGAAACTGCCGTCGACTGTCCCGATTGAACAAAAGCACTTTCTTAGTGTCTGGCCAGAACAAGCCGAGAAGGCGGAAGACGACCAAGTTTTGGCTAGTCTGTGATGATGGGAGCTGTGTCCCTGGAACTAAATAACCGCTTGTCACACGACTCGTCACCAGTGCCAATATCCGGAACTGTGACAACCTTCTCCTAGACCTAGAGGGTTCCGGTGAAACCGTAAGTCTTTGTTCTACGGCCGCTCCTTTTCAAAGTACTGTTGTACTAGAATTGACCTTGTCACCTTGTGTTATGAGATTGAAAAAACAACAAAAAAGTGCATCGATTTTTTTCTATGGAATGATAGTGTCCCGGTCACAGTCATCAGACACAATTTTTTTACAATCAGCAGAGGTTTATGAAGGTTTGGCCGACTGTTCTCCAAATGCCGTCTATTTAGGCCTTCACTTCGAATAACCAAGCCCTACCAGAAAGGTGTTTCAGGTCAAAATGCATGCTTTTTGAAAAACGTCGTAGCATTATTTAGAGAATGTGGCATCATCTCTTTCAGAGAATGTCCAGCTCTCTCGGGACGGTTTTTGCATGATTCAGGAGCGCGTGCATAGAACACAGGACTGTCGCTCATTTTTCCTACCAGGAAGGTCTTTCAGGGCGTGACAAGCTTTTTGAAAACGGTCTTTTGCATGATATAGGGGCAGATGCGGGAACCACAGAACCATGTTCAATTTTTCCTGAACGGCCCTCTGAATACCAGAAAAGGAGGTCCCTAGTTCGATTCCTCGTGGTAACAAATTTTTGCATTTCGAGTTGACGTGCCAAAATTCGCGCAAAATGGAGTTAGAACCAACCAGAACAATCAGAACTCCATTTTGCGCGAATTTTGGAACGTCAACTCGAAATGCAAAAATTTGTCACCAAGAGGAATCGAACTAGGGACCCCTTTTCTGGTATTCAGAGGGCCGTTCAGGAAAAATTAAACATGGTTCTGTGGTCCCCGCATCTGCCCCTATATCATGCAAAAGACCGTTTTCAAAAAGCTCGTCACGCCCTGAAAGACCTTCCTGGTGAGCGCTCCTTGGAATACCAAAAAGGAGCGAAAGAAAAGTTTCTAAGGAAATGCCGTTTCACCAGTTTTTTGTCAAACTTCTACATATGAAGGTTGCTGATAGTCCCGATTCTAAATATGAAATCCCATGTTCACGCGGACGAAATTTATCGCGAATTTTGAAACGCCAAAAATGCATGCAAAAATTGTCCACCGCGAAGAATTCGAACCACGGGCCGGTTTATCAACCACTTTTTAGTATTCAGGTGGTCACTCAGGAAAAATAAACTACAGTTCTGTGTTCCATGAACGTATTCCTATACCATGCGGAAAACCGTTTCGAGAAAACTGAGCATTTCCCGAAAGACCTTCCTCGTTAGAAGACAGCAATGCTAGCTTCATTTATCCCGAACGGCCCTTCTGACTGCAAAAAAGTAACAAGCGATTGGACTATGGTTCGATTTTCGCGGTGGGCAAATTTTTGCACTTGCATGATGTCACAAAATGGCACCCGCGGCAGTAATAGATGTCTTAATAATCATATAGGCCATCTCTAGCAAAAACTGATGTCGGGAAGGTGTAACACTTGCGCTTTTTAAACCTCTCTTTTGACACTCAGATGGCTGCCCAGCAAAAATGAACCACATGTTTGTGCTCGCATGTTTATGGTGCGCAAGGGCGCAGGTCGGTGTGAGTGGGCAAAGTGGCGCGTTACCACGCCGGTCCGGGGATCAAATCCGTGGGTCGTGAGTCGCCAACCAAGCCTTCCATCCCTCCGGGGTCGGTTAATTGGTACCAGACTTGTCTGGGAGGATAAAAACACTGACTTGTACATCGGCTGGCCCCCGCAAGTCATTGTATAGGCCACATCGCATTCAAACGCCACTACGAATGTACAAATGGAAGTAGAATGCGTGCCGCATCCCAAAAAGGGATTGATCAACGGCAAATGCTTTATCCTTTTATCCTTATGGTCCTACTAAATCACGTGGGAAACCATTCTTGGAAAACGGGCAACGAAAAACGACCTGGAAGACTTCCCCGGTTAGAATCATTGTGCAAGTTGACATGAAATTGCAACCATTGAATCTATTTTATGTCTCTCTCTTCGAATAAATCAATGAATACGAGGGAAATAAAGTTATTCCTTGTTCATAGCAATAAACTACACCAATTGGGGAAAACTCGTTTTTGGTTAATAGCCTTGGCGAACGGCGGAAACTAGCCGTCTGCTACCTATGGAGAATAGTTTTTGTATGAGACGCTATATGTAGCCCTTTCCTGGGCTTTTTTGAAATGGAGCGGCTGGGTTCAGATCCAGCAGGCTAGTGCAAAACTGAAAAAGCTCTTAAAAAACCTTGGAAGCAGGATCCTAAGCCGAACGCAGGTTATAGAATTTCGTGTAATAATGGGGACGAAAGTTTCGGAGCAGGGTTGTATCTATAGAAGACAATAGAATGTTAAATTTTTCAAGAATATGGAGATTTTTGCGTGGTTTGGGGAAAATTTGAAAAGTCTCCCGTTCAAAGCATTTTGGGACAGGAAGTTGGAAGGGTGCCAGTTCGGGCCAGGTTCGATGATCAGCCCCCTCACGACATAGTTAGCCATCGGAGGACCCTCGGAGAAAGTGAGTAGGGTCTTCTGAGATCGGCTCCAGACTTCATGATCCGCAGCTATCATCTGCACTGGCTTCCTTCCCCAGTTGGGCTTAGTTTTGGGAAAGCCCTCCCATCCCACCTCTTGTGATTGCGTCAAACTTTCTTCCTGCACTGCGTCGCTACTTTTTAGGAAAGTCATTCAGGCTAGCGGTGACCGTTGAGATTTTTCTGCGTCTGATCGTGGACACACTCTAGAGATTTCTTATAGGTCAACAGTCATCTAGTGGCACAGACAGAGCCCTCACCTGTGTCCTCTTGGAGATTTTTGCTGTTCTGCCCTTTTTCTTGAGATAATCGTTAAGTGCACCTCCCAAAACCAATTCCATGACCAGGTAAAATGGCTGAAATTGTGAATTTGGTAAAAAAATGAACATATCAGCACTGAATTATTTTTTGCAGTTCCCGCATTCAACGCACTTCTACTTCCCATTGACAAAATACTCAGGCCTGATACATAGAGGAGGGGGGGGGGGACAATAAAAAAATATTTGGTCCCCACATTTAAGTGGATTCAATCATACTTTGCTACGTTCAAACCCAGCATGAAATTGGAGGGCATATATCC